TGTAAATGTGGTTTATCTCTATGTGTCTAAGGATGGTTGAATTGTCTGAGTGCCATGCTTCTGGGAATTCCCTAGTGCTTTTGGATTTAGCTTGGGCTCGGATGCTCGCAGTTTCCCTGTTGAAATTGGCTGAATCTCTCCATCTGTTGTGAGATTAAGGAGTTTTCATTGCATCTTCTGACTGCTAGCTGGTGTTCATGGATACGCTCCGCCAGTCTTCTGCCTGTCTGTTCTACTTCCATGTTTTGGGAAATCCAACATTTTCTTGCATGGATCAGGCCATCATGCTCAGCTACCGAATGGGTTATCGGTTAGCATGTTGGGCAAACACAATGGTTGTGTTTTGTTGACCCTGGTTCAGCCGGTTGGGTGAGCCCCGTCAGTTCTGCCCGTGCCCGAACAGGATCGTTCAGTATTCACTTGTATAACTGAAGTCAATGCCATTTCCATTCCGTAATTCTCAGAAAATGGTAATTTTCTTGCACTCCAGCTGTTTGCACGTGTGGATGACAGCTTCTGCCTGCCGGGGTTGCATCCATGAAGGCCTCAGCAGGGTTGGGAGCTCCGTTGCAACGCAGAGGGAGAGCCTGTAGGATCAAGGCCACGGCTTCCTACGTGGACGAATCCCTCTTCGGCAGCCACAGAAAGTGCCAGCCCGCCGGACCGGAGTTTGAGCCACCCTGGAGGGATGGAAAGACTCGTGGGCAGAGACCCCTGCTGTGGAGTCCGGAGACCACGCGGGTGGATTCCAGTCCCTTGAATTCCCCCCCGCCAGCTAGCACCCCACGGAAGAGAAACAAATACAGGTAGGGGACATTTGGGGTGCCCTTTCTTTGCAATAAGGGTGAGGTGACACAGTCCCCCAAAGAGGGAGCATCTCATGAACGGCTTATGGAATTCACTGATTTATTTATATATCACGTTTATATAGCCGCCCATCTCACACAAAGCGCCTCTGGGCAGCGTACAACCCTTCACGATTAGGCGATTCGCTTGTTTCAGGAGAGCGTGTCTGGCTTTTCAGTTTAGGAACACGAGAAATTGCTTTCTTTCAGGCGCAAGTGTGACCGGGTTCCCATCTGCTGCTAAGGTTTAACCATGGTTTGTTGACCAAAACACAAGTTTACTAACCCAACGAGTTGAGTTCGTGCCACCAGCAAGGCATATTGAGTAGTCTAATGTTTGAATGCTGTGGATTTATGTACCGGCTATGGTTTCTGCTCCGCCTGGGATTAAGTTCTGAGTAGAAAAAATGTCCTTGCTGTCCTTTTCTTTCTCTAGAAAAAAATATAATATTTAGCTAAGTTTGCTTTCCTTTTTTTTTTAAAAAAAAGACCCTCAGGTCTGATGATTTTATTATTTATTATTTTTTATGATAAACAAGATACTAGCAAAAAAAAAAATCATATAGTTATTTCCACCATTTAGGCTCATTCTAGAATTCTTCTGGCAGCCAGAAGTATAATAAAAATATGTATATTTGTAAATATGGCATATGTAAACAGTGATTGCATGAAGATGGGAAAAAAGGGTTGTTGAATAATCATAACCTTTAGATGGAGACAGAAGAACTTATCGGAGAGAATAAAAATCAGGATGATCACATGGATTAGCCTTCAGTCAGTCTTTACATGTAGACATTCCTACTGGCCATAGTAGACCAGATGATGGGAATTGTAGTACCAACCCGCTGAAGAGCAGCAACTAGTTGGAAAAAACAGCCCTAATATGATCTAGAGACTGCAAGATTTTGCCTAAATTTCATTTATTTTGGGGAGGGGGAGGGTGGCTATATTAAAATTAGTTGAGTGTCTCTTAGACAGTTTTGGATCAAGTTTGGCTTTAGAGTGGATCTCACACAGAAGAGGAGGAATATTAGAGTCTTTTAAGGAGAAACTGCCCCAAATCATCATTATGGGAACATGTTCTAAATTCAAATAGATTAATGAATCATTTGCTTTTTTCACTTTAACTGTACATTTTTCACTTTAACTGTATTATTTAAAATGATTGCTCTGTTGTCACAAGGCACGGATGCCTAGTTCTCTTGGCAGTAGATGACAGATTCATGCGATGTGTGGACGAACACCTAGTGTATTTTCAGAAATGAAGCTTTCTTAGTTTCGAACATTTTTTCCTGTGGTTTTACCGACTCAGCCAATTGGGTGGGTTGATGAGTCAGTGCATTCTGCCACCTCTAAAGATGGGTTAAGCTCGTTGTCTGAACGTGTCTGTGTCTCTTTCCTTCCGCAAGGCTGAAAAGCCACACGCCGTCCTATTGCGATGAGACGCTGTTTGGGTCAAAGTCAGGAGGACAAGAATGGGCAGCATCGTGGGCAGCGAGAGAAGATGTGGCCAAGCTCCGCCCTTTGCTCTGGACTCCGCCTTCGGCTCCAAGAGACCCACCAGCCCTTTTCCATCATCCGAAGGAGATCCCCTTCTCTCAGGGGAAGGACAGATTGGAAGCAAACCACGGAGTAGGAACCTCTTTGGGGAAGCAGCCTGAGAACTATTCAGACACCGTCACGCACGGCATGGGAAGACCACGTTCCCAGTCCCTTACGAGGCTGGGTCATACTTCGGATCGATTTCATCCAGCGAGGTCAATTAAACAGCAGGATCAACGCACACTCAGTGGTTCTTTGAGCGCTCTTCCCACTCCACGTTCAAAGGGGCTGCCCGTTTTGTCTGCCCGGCCAAAAAGTTCACGTAAAGAAAAGCCCCCTTGGAAATAGAGCGGCCGGATGAATCCTGTAAATGGAGTCTCACTAAATCAGTGTTTCTCCAGCTTGGCACCTTGAAGATGGGTGGGCTTCATTTCCCAGAATTCCCCAGCCAGCCATGCTGTATACCGTATACAGAATAATTGCATCGATGGTGGTTTCTTCTCATCCATGTTTCTTTGGAGGCCCTTTGATGGTAGCTAGTTAACCAACAACCTTTCTCTGTGTGGGCAAGATGTGTGGGGCACGAACGATGCAAAGAGATCTGATTGTGAGGCTGATTAAGTGATGAGAACCGATGGTCTGTTTTTGCACCATTAATCCAGGAGGTCCCCATTTTTCTGGCATTACGGATATTCATACAACAGGGCGGGTCGTGCCCCCCACGGCAATTGCTAAACACCCAGGTTATTGGAAAGCAAGCCAGTGGGTTTGTTCTCTAAGGTTGCTTATGATGTCTGCATGAGACTTAGAGCGTTACGGTCAATATAGATGACGTTTCAGCCTGATGGTTTGCTTTACAGTATCTTAGCTTCCTGTATACTTTTTTAAAAAATTAAAGTAGTGCTTAAAGCAAAGTCAGGTGGGGCAAATAGCCTGGCTAGCACTAAGAGAGGTGTTTATGGCTACCACTGTGCTTTGCTTCGTTGCCATTAGTGAATAAGTAGCGGTTGGCTAAGTTGACATAACACGCGACCTTATAAACAAACCACTTTTTCCGTTGCTGTTTTGCTTACCGTGCTGGGTGAATCCAGACACTAACCCCCCCCCCTTTTTTTTTTCCTTCTGCATTTCTGGGAAAGTGGAGGGGAAAAGAATTTTTTCTAAGCGGAGGGAGATTTTCTTCTCTTCCATTTCAGCATATGGCGTTTCCCCTGCCTTATGAGGGAGGGGAAAAAAGGCAGAGCAAACCGACACTGGGACAGTGTGAAATGATAATAAAATGGTGAAGTTATCCCAGCGGGTGCAAA